ATCAGCCCTAGGTCATGATATCAGCCCGAGAGCCGACAGGCTCGAGGGATGATTTTGACCATGGGCTGATAAGGGGTATGATATGAAAAATGACATGTTATGTTCTTTTTATCATATACTTCAGCAGAAGCCATACAGACATGCAAACTTTTTTAAAACTTTATAAAATTCATTTATTGTATTATTTGTTTTGCGTTTTTTAATAATATATTTTCCTGTTTCCTAATATTCCTTCTGTTACTCTACTTAGCTATGTTGTTAACTTAAATGTTCCACTGATGTTTACTTTCCGGAATTTGCAGAATGATGTCGAAATGCTTTGCGATTACGTTAAAGAAAGGCATGCGATAATAACCGGAAGCAGTTGATATAAACCGGAAACAGTTGATATATACCGGAAGCAGTTGATATAAACCGGAAACAGTTGATATATACCGGAAGCAGTGCGTTTTTTAATAATATATTTTCCTGTTTCCTAATATTCCTTCTGTTACTCTACTTAGCTATGTTGTTAACTTAAATGTTCCACTGATGTTTACTTTCCGGAATTTGCAGAATGATGTCGAAATGCTTTGCGATTACGTTAAAGAAAGGCATGCGATAATAACCGGAAGCAGTTGATATAAACCGGAAACAGTTGATATATACCGGAAGCAGTTGATATAAACCGGAAACAGTTGATATATACCGGAAGCAGTTGATAACAAAAGTCATATCACACGGCTAAGACAATTCTTCAAATTTATTGAATAAATATATGTATAAATTAGTTTTATCAAGGGGTACAATTATACTATTATTTTCTGCAAGTATATGATAAATTAATAAATCAAATGTCAATACTCAGAGGTGTCGTGGATATCTAGAAAAAGACATGTTGCTTTGCTTTATTATGTTTGTTCTATTTAATGATTGCCTGACAGGTTTAGACTTGTAAAATATAGTACTTCCATCCCTTTCAAGGATATTATTTTCTACCATATTTCATCAAGCCTTGATCTTACGTTATATCTTAAAGACTAGGTTTGATCCTCAACAATTAAACATGCCAGGAAATAATATATCTTTTCAGGATAAGTCGAACACATTACTATACATGAATTCACTGATATGTGAATTTGTTGATACAAATAAAAATCCTCTTGCAAATATCATTATTATACTCTAATGATGAGGTTTAATACTTCGACTAACCTTTTTGGTAGGGTAAGACGTAGTCGAAACCTGGCTCATAGTATGATATGTCGGGCTTTTGGGAATGACGGATGGGACAAAGAACAAAACCGGCTTATAGTATGATGATGTCGGGCGGATTTCAAGGAAAAGTGGGTACTAAATTTGTGTTATAAATTTAGATCCCAAAGACTTGACCCTTTTGATTATGTAGCTCCTCAAGTATTCTGGTATTGATAAATACTTGGCTTTCAGGTTATTTGATTGAAGCGGTCCAGGTGAAGGTTTATCAAGAACAGATAAGCACTTCAGACACAACAAGTTTATCTAGAGTCATTTTCATCTATGTTTTGTCTAATCTGGAAGACTGTTCGTTGAACTTTGGATGCTTTTATTTTTTGGTTTGGTTCTTATCAAACTGTAGTGTACCACATTTTGCAGTAAGATTGGTGAAATCAAAATGATGCATTGTTTAATATATTGTGTAACTGCATTAAATTGTTTTATCTCTTACGTCATTGATTTTAAATATAACAGGGAGATACTTTAAACATAATAAGGGATAACACAAAAAGTGGACTTAGACAAAACAAGCGATCAGTCAATGTTCATTTTGTATATAAAATAACATCATCGTATCACAATATTAAAGGATATTGATATGAAAGGAGATAAAGAATAAAAGAGGGACGAAAGATACCAGAGGGACAGTCAAACTCATAGATCGAAAACAAACTGACAACGCCATGGCCAAAAATTAAAAGACAAACAGACAAATAATAGTACAGATGACACAACATAGAAAACAAAAGACTAAGCAACATGAACCCCACCAAAAACTGGGGGTGATCTCAGGTGCTCCGGAAGGGTAAGCAGATCTTGCTCCACATGTGGCACCCATCGTTTTGCTTATGTTATTACAAATCCGGTAAATATTCTAATTCGGTAAGTCACATTTGTGAAAAGGGTGGGTATTGTAGTTACGACATAAGGAACATATCCGATATCATCTGTGAAACGGTTATTCCATAACGGTCAACCAACTCGTGATGGCGTCCGTAAAATTAACGAAGGGATGATTTCAACTTCACCATTTGGAACTCTTGGCTTAATAGCTTCCTTGTGCTCACCATAATAAAAGAGGGACGAAAGATACCAGAGGGACAGTCAAACTCATAGATCGAAAACAAATAGATGACTTCAACTTCACCATTTGGAACTCTTGGTTTAATAGCTTCCTTGTGAGCAGCAATCCTCTATCAAGGAAATCATGATAGGAAACACAAGCCCGGGAATATCGTATCAATTGGGAGGTATATACTCCGTATGCAGGCGCTGCTGGAATGTTGCTACATAGAAATGGGAAGTTCACAATTGGGAAACTGAAATCATCTCTTTTGTCGTAAAGTTTTGTTTTCAATCGACCCTCATTGTCAATTTCTAGATGTAAATCAAGATATGAGGCAGACTTAACTGTATCTGTAGCATCCTTTATTTCTAAATCGATGGGATAGTTTCGTCTAACATAGTCACCAAATTTTGTATTATTTAGTGAGAGAACATCATCTCTATAGCGGAACGTAGAGTTAAAGGATATTGCTAAGTTCTTATTTTTCATCCTAAGAAGTTCCTGTATGAAGTCAGCCTCATAATACTTAAGAAACAAGTCGGCAAGAAGAGGGGCACAATTGGTTCCCATTGGAATTCCGACAGTCTGTTGAAAAACACGTCCTCCAAACGTACCAAATATGTTGTCAATCAAGAAATCAAGCATCTTGATAATGTCAGTTTCAGAGAATTTTTTGTTTGAATCAGAGTGATTCTTTACAAAGTAGAATTTATCCCTCCCCAAGATAAGATACTTGTATCTACGTTCGCCATGTTTTTAATGAAACAAAGTAATACCAACTCTTTTAATTTGTCTTTTAGTTTGGAATGGGGAATACTTGTGTAAAGTGTAGAAAAGTCAAATGTTTTAATACTATTGCAAGATGAGAGAGTCTTAGATTGTATGTACCCTAAAAGATCTTTGGAATTTTTTAGTATCCATATCTAATTCACGTCACCTCTAGAATAGGCAGTTTCACAATAACTTTGGAGCCCGGATAATAAGATGTACAAAATATACAATAAATGCTTAAAAGTCATTGGTTGTCTGTTATAGGGAGAATTTTCTCAAACTATTTGCAGACTCAAAACTTTCAAATAAGAATTTGAAAAGAAATAGGGGCAATTGATGACAAAATACCAAAATAATGAATATAAAATCTCAAATTTCAACAAAATGGACCATTGATAATGAAGATACAGATAAATTTTCAAAAGTGTAGACAAAATTGGTATTGTTGTTCAAATTATCATTTGTTTTATGAGTGATTAAATGGAGATGTACTAATACAGTATGTTATTTATATTCCTTAATTTATATTTCAGCAAGAAATGAAGAAAGACGCCAAAACTGGAAGGACAATGATAAAAAGATGTTCATAAAGACTAGAGCTGCTGAGCATGTTCTCAAATGTATAAAGGACAACAGTTGTGTAACTATAACTGCAAGTTCTGGTGTAGGGAAGACAGCAACACTCCGACATGTGGCGTTGCAGATGGTAAACGAGGAGTATGATGTTCTTATGGTGACCGAACCTAGTGAAATTGTGAATTATAACAATCCGAGTAAGAAGACATTGTTTGTTTTTGATAATTTGTGTGGAAACTTTACTGTTGACCAAAGTGACATTAATAGTTGGGATGCAGTCATGGAGGAAATAAAAGACATTCTTGACAGAAAACAAACAAAAATACTTGCAGCATGTCGATTACAAGTGTATCGAGATGAAAAGTTTGAATCGTTATCAATTTTTAAGTCATGTGTATGTAACATGTTATCAGAGAACATGCGTTTGTCAAAAACTGAAAAACAATCAATAGCAGAGTTATATCTGAAAACTAAAGCCGCAGAAATTACTGACTATTGCAATTTATATGACTGTTATCCGCTATTATGTAAACTGTATCATGATAGCCCAAAACTTAATATTAAAGATTTCTTTCAGAATCCATTTTCAGTTTATGAAGCAGAAATTATCAATCTACAGAAGAAGGGACATCACACCAAATACTGTGCTTTGGCCTTATGTGTCATGTTTAACAACAAGTTGAAAGAAGAAATATTCACTGAAGAGGTGAATGAAGAAACCAGGAATAATATAGAGAATACTTGTGAGGCATGCAGGTTAGACAGGGGGACTTCAAGACTTGTATTACAGGATGGTCTTGAATCACTTAAAGATACATACATAACACAAGAACAAAACATGTACAAGATTTTACATGATAAAATATTTGACTTTTTAGCATACTTCTTTGGACAGAAAATAATTCTTTGTTTGATAAAGAATGCAGACAGTGGTTTGATCAAAGAAAGATTTTTATTAGAAAGAAAGGACGACATGAATCAATTTATTACTATTATACCATCAAAGTATCATCCCATGTACATACAAAGAATGATAGATGACTGGTCAAATGGAAAAGTTCATGATGTATTTAGCAACATCAATATGAAGATGCCTCAGTTCAGACAGAAATTTCTGTCTCATTTGAAAACACTTGAGGAATCTTTCCAGCGGCAGCTGGCACATATCTGTGATAAACATAAACCGAAAATCTATTTTAATTTCTTTTCCTATATTGATCAGACTGATGATGATCACTATGATACTGCTTTATTAAAGAGTAGTTATATAGGAGATATTTCAATGGTCATGTGGTGTTGTTATCTCGATGTTGATGTAAATGAGTGTACGTATACTGGACTATCACCTGTTATGATTGCTTGTAAATATGGTCATACTGAAATAGCGAAGATGTTGTTAGACAGGGGATCAGATTGTAATAAATGTGACTCGTTTGGTCAATCAATGATCATGCAGGCTTGTAAACATGGTCATACAGAAATAGTAAAAATGTTATTAGACAGAGGAGCAGACTGTAATAAATGTGATGTTAATGGTAAGTCACCTGTAATGAAGGCTTGTGAAGATGGTCATACAGAAATAGTAAAGATATTATTAGACAAAGGGACAGACTGTAATAAATGTGATCAAAATGGCCAGTCAGCTGTAATGAAGGCTTGCAAACATGGTCATACAGAAATAGTAAAGATGTTGTTAGACAGAGGAGCAGACTGTAATAAATGTGACAGGAGGGACCAATCACCTGTAATGACGGCTTGTGAAAATGGTCATACAGAAATAGTAATGATGTTATTAGACAAAGGAGCAGGCTGTAATAAATGTGACTCGATTGGTCAATTCCCTATGATGAAGGCTTGTGAACATGGTCATACAGAAATAGTGAAGATGTTGATAGACAGAGGAGCAGATTGTAATAAATGTGACTTGGTTGGTCAAGCACCTGTAATGAAGGCTTGTGAAGATGGTCATACAGAAATAGTAAAGATATTATTAGACAAAGGGACAGACTGTAATAAATGTGATCAAAATGGCCAGTCAGCTGTAATGAAGGCTTGCAAACATGGTCATACAGAAATAGTAAAGATGTTGTTAGACAGAGGAGCAGACTGTAATAAATGTGACAGGAGGGACCAATCACCTGTAATGACGGCTTGTGAAAATGGTCATACAGAAATAGTAATGATGTTATTAGACAAAGGAGCAGGCTGTAATAAATGTGACTCGATTGGTCAATTCCCTATGATGAAGGCTTGTGAACATGGTCATACAGAAATAGTGAAGATGTTGATAGACAGAGGAGCAGATTGTAATAAATGTGACTTGGTTGGTCAAGCACCTGTAATGAAGGCTTGTGAAAACGGTCATACAGAAATAGTAAAGATGTTATTAGACGGGGGAGTAGACTGTCATAAATGTGATGGTTATGATCAGTCGACTGTAATGAAGGCTTGTGGGGGAGGTCATACAGAAGTAGTAAAGATTTTATGTGACAGAGGAGCAGACGTTTATAAATGTGACAGATGGGGTCAATCAACTGTAATTATGGCTTGTGAATATGGTTATGCAGACATAGTAAAGATGTTATTAAACAGAGGAATAGACTTTAATAAATGTGGCTTTAGGAATGAATCACCTATAATGAAGGCTTGTGAACACGGTTATACAGAAATAGTAAGGATGCTGCTAGACAGAGGAGTAGATTTTAATGATTGTGATAGGTTTGGCCAATCTCCTGTAATGAAGGCTTGTGAACATGGTCATACAGAAATAGTAAAGATGCTCTTAGACAAATCCGCAGAATATAACAAATGTGACAAGTAAGGTTAGTCTGTCACCTGTAAGGAAGTGAGCATGGTCATACAGGCATAATAAAGATGCTCCTAAACAGAGGGTTACACTATGATAAATGGAACAGGAGGGGGTCTGTCAACCTTACGTCTTTGGTCTTTTTTAGTATCCACATTTGATTCACGCCACCTTTATAATTAGTAAATTCACAATAACTTTGAACCCCGCCTTTGATTGCTGATAAAGTTAATTTTAATAATTTAGAAAGATGTTTCGTGAAGCACCTGAAGACTCAGCAACATAAAGCTGATTGTAAGAACACTTATGCAGTTTAGGTATACAGTGAAGGAAGATCAAGTTCTCCATCTGTGGTTGAAATTTCAGAGGAACATAGAACAGACCTATGCTTATACAGGATAAGTGTCGTGTGGGGGTATATGTTGAGTTTTCAAGTGAATTGTCAATACCTAATTCATTTATCAGCCAGTTTATGTATAATTAATCAACATTCTTGTCAGAAATCAGTTATAATTAAAGTCTTATCAGTGTATATATAACATTTTGTATGTGTGTTAAAAATATGTTATTGATTGCATTTTAATGAACGATTATATCACAATACAAGATATATATCATATTACTGTTGTATAAGTAGCACAACTTTGTTATAGTTGAACTTCAAAGTCATCATTGATAAATGAGATGCGACTTTTTTTGAAGAGCAAATGCCTATTGTTAAAAAGATGATCAGCGGTTGAATTTTGATTAAAACAGCAATAGAAAACTGTTCTTAAGCTGCAATTCCATATTATAAAGCAAGACTAAACCGTCGTTCAGATTTTTATAACATTTTAACAATATTTTTCGGTTCTAAAGATGTATTCTGACATTATAATGCAAAATGAAAGATGTATTCATCAATTTCTAAGAAATGTGTTTATATTATAATTGTGAAGTATGACACATAAATATAGCTCGGGTGTCTTCCTCCATCTTGGATTTTGAAGTAGCGGATAATAATTAGTCTAGATCTTTAATGAAATGTGCAAATTTTGAGAGTAGTATGTAATTCGTGTGTTAGACTTTTAATGTTAATATAGAAAATTATGTGTTTAATTATATTTACGGCTGTATTTTCTAAAAAACACAATATTTTTGTTTCATTCATTTTTTTCCAACTTTGCCAAATAAGGGGAGATAACTCAGATAGTCAGGAAGATAACTCAGATAAAGTAATTTTATAATAGAAAGTGTTGTGATTTTACATATTTTAATATGTAGCAAGAAAACAAGTTCGGTGACCGCCTTTTTTATCTTAAAATTCTATGGTGTAGTTTTATTATTGTCACACTAATTGGATTTTCCATGCATAATTTATACAAAATTTGACAATTTTGCACAACTTGTAGCGTGTAAAAAAGGCCGGTGACCCATACTTTTTGTTATATTTTTGAAAAAACAATGATAAAAACTTCATTTTGACAAATTATTAAAAAAATCTATGGGTTTTATTTAAGCCACCTTAAAGCAATACGCTTTAATTGTACAGATGTTTTCTGGCATTATAAATCAATGTAAAAAAGCATCTTAGATACCAGAATTTTAATTTGGTAAATCATGTGTTGTTGTTGTTGATAGATATGATGTTGTTTAAAGATGAACTGTGTTTGATTAAAGATGAACCGTTGTGGTTTTAATATGTGCCATTTTTGTAACAAGATTGCTATTGTTCTTAAAAGATGTGGTTTTGTGGATTTCATAACTCTACACTTTTCTAGAAATGACAAATTCAATAGGTATACCGTGAAGGATTTGAGCGTTGACAAAATGTTCATGGCAATATGACTAGGAATTATCAATGTGTTTTGAATAAAAATATGTTGTTTACATGGAAGTTTTATTGTGTCAAATTTACAGTAAGTTCTATAAAAAGGTTAAATTATATTAAATAAAATTGAGAATCAAAATGGGGAATATGTCAAAGAGACAACAACCCGACCAAATAGTAATTCATATTCTATCATCAATGTATTCATAAATATACAACATATTGTTTTCATTTCTGTATTATTTAGACCAATAGATATTCTATAACCTGTTTCATTAATGATATCTTATTAAATTACATTTTCTTTAATAATTTTCTATTTAAATTATCAGTTGTCACACTGTTATTGTTTCATGTATATTTTCATACCCTGTGATCTTCAAGTTTGTGGTACCCTCTATAAACACATTAAATGTAGATTTTAAACCTGAAGGTTTTTAATATCAATTTTATATTATTTGCTGTTTTTACAATTAACTTTTCTCACAATCTTAGAAATGATTATTTCAACATTGTTTACCTATAGTGTTTATTGTCTCTATTTCACTAGCCTAGTTACATATTTTTATATTAAAATGCATAAGGTATTTTCATATATTTACATTATTTTCTTTTTAATTCTATCCCGTTATTATCTATAAGATTTCAACAAAAAATCTATGCATGTGTGTAGTGTTAATTGAAGAAAAAAAATTTAAAACAGAAAAGGTGTATATCGAACCAAAACAATAAATAATGTTTATCAGAATACTGTGTTTTTGAGAGTTTTAAATGTTAATGGAATTATTAGTAAAAGTATTGTTCAACATGTATACATTGAGTACAACCCTTCTGAATATAGGGACATAGAGCAGAAAAATCACCAAGAAAAGGAAAAGTTAGAAATAATTTGCAGACTATGTAAAAGAAGAACGAAAGATACCAGAGGGACAGTCAAACTCATAGATCGAAAACAAACTGACAACGCCATGGCCAAAAATAAAAAGACAAACAGACAAACAATAGTACAGTTGACACAACATAGAAAACCAAAGACTAAGCAACACGAACCCCACCAAAAACCGGGGATGATCTCAGGTGCTCTGGAAGGGTAAGCAGATCCTGCTCCACATGTGACACCCGTCGTGTTGCTCATGTTATTACAAATCCGATAAATAGTCTAATTCGGTAGGTCACATTCGTGAAAGGAAAGGGTATTGTAGTCACGACATAAGGAACATATCCGATATCATCTGTGAAACGGTTCCATAACGGTCAACCAACTCGTGATGGCGTCCGTAAAATTTACGAAGGGAGGATTTCAACTTCACCAGTTGGAACTCTTGGTTTGATAGCTTCCTTGTGAGCAGCAATCCTCTATCAAGGAAATTATGATAGAAAATACAAGCCCTGGAATATCGTATCAATTGGGAGATATATATACTCCGTATGCAGGCGCTGTTGGAATGTTGCTACATAGAAATGGAAAGTTCACAATTGGGAAGCTAAAATCATCTTTTTTGTCGTAAAGTTTTGTTTTCAACCGACCCTCACTGTCAATCTCTAGATGTAGGTCAAGATATGAGGCAGACTTAACTGTATCTGTAGTATCCTTTATCTCCACGAAACCTCTTTCTAAATTATTAACATCTATTTTATCAGCAATCAAAGCCGGGCTCCAAAGTTATTGTGAAACTGCCTATTCTAGAGGTGGCGTGAATCAGATGTGGATACTAAAAAATTCCAAAGATCTTTTAGAGTACATACAATCTAAGACTCTCTCATCTTGCAATAGTATTAAAACATTTGACTTTTCTACACTTTACACAAGTATTCCCCATTCCAAACTAAAAGACAAATTGAAAGAGTTGGTATTACTTTGTTTTATTAAAAAGAATGGCGAACGTAGATACAAGTATCTTGTCTTGGGGAGGGATAAATCCTACTTTGTAAAGAATCACTCTGATTCAAACAAAATATTCTCTGAAACTGACATTATCAAGATGCTTGATTTCTTGATTGACAAAATATTTGTTACGTTTGGAGGACGTGTTTTTCAACAGACTGTCGGAATTCCAATGGGAACCAATTGTGCCCCTCTTCTTGCCGACTTGTTTCTTTAGTATTATGAGGCTGACTTCATACAGGAACTTCTTAGGAAGAAAGAAAAGAAGTTAGCAATATCCTTTAACTCTACGTTCCGCTCTATAGATGATGTTCTCTCACTAAATAATACAAAATTTGGTGACTATGTTGAACGAATCTATCCCATTGAACTAGAGATAAAGGATACTACAGATACAGTTAAGTCTGCCTCATATCTTGACTTACATCTAGAAATTGACAATGAGGTTCGGTTGAAAACAAAACTTTACGACAAAAGAGATGAGTTCAGCTTCCCAATTGTGAACTTTCCATTTCTATGTAGCAACATTCCAGCAGCGCCTGCATACGGAGTATATATCTCCCAATTGATACGATATTCCCGGGCTTGTGTTTCTTATCATGATTTCCTTGATAGAGGATTGCTGCTCACAAGGAAGCTATTAAGCCAAGAGTTCCAACTGGTGAAGTTGAAATCATCCCTTCGTAAATTTTACGGACGCCATCACGAGTTGGTTGACCGTTATGGAATAACCGTTTAACAGATGATATCGGATATGTTCCTTATGTCGTAACTACAATACCCTTCCCTTTTCACGAATGTGACTTACCGAATTAGACAATTTACCGGATTTGTAATAACATAAGCAACACGAAGAGGGGCACATGTGGAGCAGGATCTGCTTACCCTTCCGGATCATCTGAGGTCACTACCAGTTTTTGGTGGGGTTCGTGTTGCTTAGTATTTAGTTTTCTATGTGGTGTCATCTGTACTATTATTTGTCTGTTTGTCTTTTTATTTTTGGCCATGGCGTTGTCAGTTTGTTTTCGATCTATGAGTTTGACTGTCCCTCTCGTATCTTTCGTCCCTCTTTTATCTCTAGTTCGATGGGATAGATTCGTTCAACATAGTCACCAAATTTTGTATTAATTAGTGAGAGAACATCATCTATATAGCGGAACGTAAAGTTAAAGGATATTGCTAACTTCTTATCGTTCTTCCTAAGAAGTTCTTGTATGACGTCAGCCTCATAATAATAAAGAAACAAGTCGGCAAGAAGAGGGGCACAATTGGTTCCCATTGGAATTCCGACAGTTTGTTGAAAAACACATCCTCAAAACG